GTCACAAATTGAGATGACAGATAGTGGAGGCCCATCTCCAGAAACAAACTCCAAAACCTGAAGCATCCCCTATCTCTAATTCTCCTGGGGCCTCAGCCAGTTGCAAAGAATATGCTTCACTATATCTCATTTGACTATGTCACTGTCTTATGTGTCAGCATGCTTTTTCCTTTCTTAGCACAGATGCTGATATACCACAAAACCATTCATTTAAAGAGGTGTGTTGTCACTAAATATAGAAAGGAAAAGGAGAAAAGAACTTGATCAATTCTCTTTCATTTGAAGAAAAATCCTAGGAACCTCGAAAATAGCACTGGTTCACAGGCTGTCAAATATGCAAAGACATCTAATAATAACCTTCTCTTCCCCAGGCTCAATGTTTTCCAGTTTTTTTTTTCTGCTGATCCTCATTTGGCACAATCTCCAGCCCTCTCACTACTGTGTTCTTCTCCAGGCTAAACATCTCTATGTGTGACACAGTTTTGATTCCCTTCCTTTCAAGGGGATCTGAACAGCAGGATAATGGCCATTCTTACAAACACAAATCTGAAAGTTCTATTTCTCTCTGCTTTAATCTGTTGCCTATAGATAGCCTCTGAGTCAGACAGAGGTTGTTTCAGTCCTTAGGGCTTTATATATAGCTGTGGTTCTCAAAATTTTTTTTGCTCACTGTGCAGTCTGGGAGACTCAGAAGACTGTCACATGAGTTACAAGTTCCATACAATATGGGGCACCCAAGATTCAGAACATACTAATGTATCCTGGCATACTCTTGAGAACCACTGGCCTACAGATTCTTTTTTCTGAGTTCAGAATGCTAACATTAATACCCTCTTTTATATTATCTATTGTCTCTCATTTTGAAGGATGGACCTAGAGACTGAAGTAAGGCTTAATTACATTACACAAGATAGGACAAATCCCATTAGCTCACCATTAGACTGTGAGCTCCTTGAGAGCATGGACTGCCTTTAATCTTTCTTTCAAAGTTGACATATAATTAATATTTATTGACTGACCCTTTTTAATTACCTAATTCCAATGTGGTCAGTGAAGAACATAGAGAAATCATTGAATATTAGAACTAGAGATCATCATTAATAAATTAGTCAATCAACCAAGAAGCATTTAGTAAGTACCTACTAAGTATTGTGCTCCTTCTAGGAATACAAAGAGAAAACCAAAATATTCCCTCCTTTCAAGGAACCTACATTCTGATACATTCCTGCAGCAATAGACTTTATTTTATGGGTTTTTCCCCTTGTCTATTGTCTTTCCCTTTCCCCTTTTGCTACCCTCCTCTTTTCAATACTACCTTTGAGACCCTAGCCTCCAGAACCAATGAACACTGAGATTTAATGAGGAATAACAAGGGAAGGATCATTTCACACTACACCAGGGTCTATATTGTTTAATCCCATTTTCACTGTTTTTTAAAAAAATTTCAAGTCCTTCCTGCTATTCCCTTTGAGCCAATTAATATTTTTTAGAAACCAATAAACATTTTTTAAATCCCTCAATACATATCTACATATACAGTAAATCAAAAAAATGCATTGCAGATAAAGGGAATGAACTATAGATGAGATCCCTTCCATGTCTAGGAGAAATATATTCCACTCTCAGCATCTTTTAAGAACTCACCTACAGAAACACCTATGGAAATAGATGTAGGCAAACATTAGGTAGTTACCGTGCATAGTGTGGCAATTAATCAGAATGCCAACGTTAAAATTACTGGTGTTGCTGACCTCAGTGTAGATAATCCTTTGATGGGGCTACAGGCATCAAAGCATAATACCCAATCTGTAATTTTTAGTAATTCCATTTTTACTGCTGATTTACCACTCTCCAGATAGTAATGTTGAAATGTATGGTAGAGGTAAACTGCCATAGTTATGCTCTTCATTAAATATTTAGTGATTGACAATTCTGTGCACTTTACATCTCTCTGTGCATCTATTACCTGCAGAGATGCCGTGTTTATTTGTAACAACTACTTTGAAAGAACTTCATACATTTCCATTCTTCAGTTGTAAAAAGTTAAATCTAAAGAAATCATCTATCATTAGGAGCTAGCTTAAGATTACATTCTCAATGAGAAGCTCTCTGAGAAACAGACCAAAAGTCAGTATTATAGGGCATTTGAGTTGATTAGAATTCAAAAGACTTCGTCAAGAGATACCTGGACCAATGACAAAGGGAGTTTAACAGCATATCACTGAGTCCTGGAGTAGGAATTGTTAAAACTGAAGGTTTGTTTGTGAGCCTGACAACTGCATTAGAAGACGTCCAGAATTTAGAGCTATTCTGTCCTGCTAAACTTTGCTGAAATATTGAATTAGCTACTACACTGCAACTTAGGGGCAGTCTTTTCTTACCAACTTCGGTCCATTGAAGAGGATATCACAACTAACACTTCTGAGCAAATGGAGGCCTTGGCATCAGATTTAATAATAGTCCTCAATCAAGATAGTTAAAGCCTATTTACAGGAGTGCCTAAAATCGGGAAACCCTATATCCTGAAGCTACGATCTTCCTTCACAGACTAGCGAAGCTCTGTTCTTTCTTGATAGAGACAATCACTGGACTTTTACTCTTTGATGTGCTTTTGTGGAAATAAAAACCTTGTTTTTTCTTATTTTGTTAGCAAAGAACATCATAGTTCCTAAATAACAATGGAAAAGATGAACCTGATTTATCCTCATTCCTTCAACAAATATATGTGAAGTATGTATATACAGCTATATGCGCACATGTGAATATATATGTAATAGATATTTTATATATATATATATATATTATATATATATATATATACACACACACACACACACACACACATAAATAAAATTTGAGATACAATTTTTAAAAGCTTTTTAAAAAATTTTGGCTAAAGTAAAAAAAAATACATATCTTCACAGTCCAGTCCAAAAATAAAAAAAATTCCCACATGTTGCTTCTTATCATACAAGAAATTGTCCATTTAGACCAGAGACCACATATTCATGTAGTAAACTCTGTCATAGTCATGGGCTATCCTGTCCTATTTAGAATTCTACCCTAGGTAAGCTTCAAGGAACAGTAAAGGAGAGGAAGTTCCTATGAATTAGTCACTAGAGAATCATTGGTAAATGAGAGTCTAGGTAAATCAAAGCTTGTCTGAATATAAATATGTAAATCAACCCATAATCCTATTTTAACATAAGAATGTACATAAATTGATATGCATCATCAGGAGATGATAATTCATCCTGAATTAATTAAATTATATCACTTTGGTTTTCAGTTGGGATTCTGTGCATTCAAGTCAGTATTAGACAATTTCTTTAAAGAAATTTTATTTATTTAAATTAAGCTCCCACAATATTATATCTCCAAATTGACATTATTATATGAGCAAGTTTTTTCCCATATCATCACTAATATTCTTACTACTGATCACTGACATTTATGTAAAACTTTTAAGATATACAAAGTACTTCATGTACATTGTTTCTACACTCTCTCCTCTTATGCATCTCTCCTCTCTGAGTTTTTGTAACTCAACTCTCTTTGGTTCTCCTCCTACTTGTCTGACTCTTCGGATTACCCATGAACTAGAAAACTGATCAACTTTTTAACAATATGCATATTAACATTTTTGTGATTTTTCTTTTATTTTACATCACCTTCATTTCCAATTAAGTCTTCTCCTTGTGCCCTACCCAATACAGCTTAAGAGCCACTTTTAACAGGAAGCCTTTTCTGATCCCCACCCCAATTGCAGACTTCTTTCCTCCTTCTAACAACCTTGTATTAAACTAGCTCATATTTATTCTGTAAATATTTACATATGTGTGTGTCTTCCATAGCATATGTACATTTTTCCAATCAAAAGTAAACTCCTTAAGAGCCAGGGATAACAATTTTTTTTAAAAATTTTGTATCCCCATATATAGAGGCAGCTAGAAGTTCATTGGATCAAGTATTAGCCCTGGAGTCAGGAAAATCTATGTTCAATGAGGGCTCCCACACTTATTAGCTGTGTGACCCTTGACATGTCACTTAATTTTTGTCTGCCTCAGTTTTCTCAACTGCAAAATGGGGATGATAATAATAACCCTACTTTCCAGAGTTATTGTGAGGATCAATATTTGTATAGTGCTTAGCACAGAGCCTGGCAAATAGTAGACACTTAATAAATTCTTGTTTCTTTCCTTCCTATATCTTAGCACAAAGTCATTATTATCTTACTTTCAGAAATTTTAACCTGCAATCTCAGCCAAATATCTATGACTTCCTTGAGTGTACAATTTTTACTATTTCTCTATTTCTTATGTTATGTTATTAGCATGTTTCTTTCTTTTTCAAATTGAACTCATCATACAATTACAGGCACAGAGAAATTAAGTTTGGTTTACACTAAAACACCGCATCTGATATGCTATATGAATTTACATTGTCCTCTCAAAGTTCATTAATAATTTTTCTAATTATTAAAACACATTAGCCCACTAGAATTTAAAGGTTAGTTTCATTCACTATGATAAAATTCTAAACAGATCAATTTGTTTCACATGGCATCTTAATCCAAATATAAGAATATGGAGTAGCAAGACTTTATAAGGACCTTAATAATAATGATAGACAGAAAGATGATAGATAAATAAATGATAGAGTATTTATCGAGCACTTACTATGTGCAGGGCACTGTGCTAAGGCTTTAGGCCTTTCTATAGGTTCTATATACTCTTTACAAAATTGCCAGAAGACTTTCATTTACACTCTGGATTTTTAAAATACTTAAAGATCATCTTTCATCAAAATCTATCATTTTATAGAAGATGAAACAGTATTCAAGACATTAAGCAATTTTTCCCAAAGTCACAATTGAGACTTGAAACTAGGTCTCCTGATTCCTACATGAGTATTGTTGTTTTTTGTTTTTGTTTTTGTTTCTTCCCACTCATCATGCTTCATTATGATTTTGTGTCTATTCACATACCAAAATAACCTACCTTTACCCCAGGAATTCCAGGGACCCCATATTCTCCTTTGATACCAACTGTACCCTAAAATTGAGAAATTTTAAAGCTTTGTAAATATTTTTGACAAAGATAATATGATACTTCACAGATGAATTACTTCTTAGTTTAAAATTTAAACTAACCCTTGTCCAGCCCTTAAATGTATGATAAGAGGTTCCCAATGTTAACAATTTTCCATTGATGCTTTGTAACATTCTAGCTCTCTGGAAGGGAAGGGGAAAATAACAATTCAACCATCATCCTCCCAATTCCAGCCCCAACCATGAAAAGAGATCTTAGAAGAACCATATGACTATAAATTGGAGAAATGGAGGGGAAAGGTCTGAAAAAAAAACATTTCTAGAAAATTACCACAACAATAGAACCCAATCTCCCCAAACCTCAAATTCTAAAACCATGAAAATGAACTGCTCTTTTATAAAACCAATGAAATTTTCTAACTATGAAATGGAAGAGGATAATATCACAGGTCTTATAGAATTGAGAAAGTAATTTCGTTGCTAAGTAATTTGGTTGCCAACTACAATTGCTAAGCAAATGAAATGAATAGATTAAGAAAAATTATAATAACCAAGTCTGAATGAAGGAAAAGTATTAATTATTATTTCAAATCATATTAGGGTGAGTTCTGGTCTGACAGAGAAGGCATTCCTAGGATGGTCATGGTAAGAGGCCACTGAAGTAGAACATCAATTACAATTCTATATTCAAATATAAGTATTCAAACTTTTTTCCATGAGAAGTTATAAAGATTAATGAATAAATAAGTATACCACATTAATGGAGTGACATAGAATGAATGGAAAGACAAAGAACAAACAATGAACATAAATCTGTCTCAAAGATAGTGATTTTAGTTTAAACATTTTTGACATATTCATTCACAAAGGGCAATAGAAAAATACACTTGAGTCATAAGCGTACTATATAGCATTATCAATGAATGAAAAGTGGTATAGAAGACATCATCAAAACCATGTGACTAGAAAATGAGTTGGGCTGGTCATGTACCAAAAGTATAGCATGATAGAGAGTCTTAGTACTCATGAAATAGGGAAACACTTTTATTTCATAAAGAAAGGCTTCCAGAACACTAGACAGATTTGCTAAGAAGGATTTATGGGAGGACATGAATGAGTTTTGATGCATACCAACATGGTTTTCCCACATCTTTGACATCACAGATACACTGGAATATCATTCACAATGAGAAGTTAAAAATAATTCAGTTCTAATAGAAATAAGAAAACTTTTTAAAACTGAAAAACAATAATAGTGTGATGATTTTTAAAGCAATACCATAACATATGGCAGTAATATATTGCCACAGATAGGACTTGAGCATAAAACTCATTTGCTTCAAAAAATGCTTACCTTGTACCTCTTGACAGACTCCCTTGGTTAAATGGTGCTTAGAAGGATCTAGAATTGCTCAGTTTCTCAAAACATAATCTAGTAGGGAGCAAAAACTTTGTTCTCTGACTACTCTGGATGATGTTTTTCTCATAATTATAAATGGTTATAAAATTAAATTGAAATAATACTTAAATAGAAACATGAACAGCTGTTTGCATAGATGCCAACTTACACAAGGATTGTCAGGACAGAAGGTCTTCAGGCATTATGCAGCAAGTGGGAAAAAAGAAAGGGAAATTTATATCATTCTGAAAGAGGCCTGAACATTTATTATCAAATTCCACATTACTCCAAATTAGCAGGTCCCCAAAACATCACTTGCCACTTAAGAGTAGTGACCCAAATATTATAGCAGGATAAGCAAAAATAATAATAATAATAACACCTCACACTGATCCTGGATGATCACTAATTAATCATAGCTATTATTAGTGCTATTAAAATTCATTTAATAATAATAATAATAATAATAATGAGTGGTGCTTGTCATTTTAAAGTTTGCGAACATATTACATAACATTCTCTCAGGTGAGCCTCACAAAAACCCTGTAATATAAACACTGCAGGTATTGTTATCCTTATTTACAGATGAGGAAACTGAGGTTCAGAAAGGTTAAGTGAATTCTTTATGGTCACACATAGCTAGTAAGTGAGAACTGAACTCATCTTCCTGATTCCAAATCCAGTACTCTATCCTCTTTGTCACACTGCCTCCTTACCAAAGACAGGAAATAATTTGTACTCTGATACTCATTCTCTAGAAAAGTCTACGTCCAAGGCGTGGTTCACATACGAAATATTCAGCTGCCACAATGGTCTTTTCTAGGAAAAGGCCTATAAATTATAATATAATGGCTGCACTCTTTAGTAGGACTCAAAAATTTCGTTGAGTAAAATATCTATTCAGTGGCAGATTCTTTATTTTTAATAACAATCAATCAACAAGAATTTATTAAATTTCTACTATGCACCAAGCACTCTGCTAGGTCCTGAAGATATAAAAGTGAAAAAGTGAAATAGTCCCTGCCCTCCAGAAGCTCATATTCTATCAAGAGGAATAACTTGTCCATCTATAAGAATACACAAAATAAATACATAAATATAACTACTATTTGAATAAGTTTATAAAGTACATTCCTCACAACCCTGGGAGGTAAGTAGTAAAACTATTATTCCCATGTTACCTACAAGACAGAATATTAAACGTCAAGTCAAATGCCACGCCAATGGGACACAACTAGTAAGTGCCAGAGCTGGGACTAAACCATTGTGCTTCAGACTCCAGGTCTAGTACTCCTTCTACTACTAGACATGGGTCCCAAGTCAGGCTTACTTTATTTTTGACAGCCTTTACTAGCATCAAATCATTTGTAGACTGGAAATCACTGTAAGAGCATTTCTTGGCATATTATTTTTGGATCAGGTCTGTGATTTTATTGCTACAGGGAACCCTTAGCGAGGAAACTCTTTCAACTAATTTAGGTCTGACTGTCAGTCAATAAGCACTTAAGTTTGGATTATGTACCAAACATTGTGCTAAGGACACCAAGACAAAAGTGAAACATCATGTGCCCTCCAGAAGCTTACATTCGAATGAGGGAGAGACAACATGTACATATCTAGATACGTACAAGAAGATTGGGGGAGAGATGGAATAGATATCAGGAGCTTGGGGTATTAGGAAAAGTATCTCCTCAATGATTTATCATCTTACAGCACTGTCTGGAGCGCTGAGTTTGAATGACTTACCAAGGGTGACATAGCCAGGATGTGATAGACCTGGGTTTTCTTGACTTGGTCTATGTCCTGACTCTATCCCCTTCACCATGATGTCATTCATATGTACCTGGCACCCAGTAGGTGCTTAATAAATGCTTGCGGATTAATTTATTTGTTCTCACCAATCTTGAAAATTGTAAATAACAACTATATAAGTAGGGAAAATTGTCCTTTCCTATACTGGTAATCTACAGGAGAAACCTGGGCAGGAAAAAATCATTCCCTCAGTATGATTATACTTTGTGTGGTCATTTTCAAATAACTATTTAGTGTGCCTGGAAGCAAACTAACTTTTTAATTTTCACACTGCATAGTCATTATTGGCGTACCTGTTGTAACACTGTAAAATCTATGCTAGTATGGAATACAAAAGATGGCACTTTTCCATCTAATGTACATTAAAGTTAGGAGGACACAGAGAAAAAGAAGAGAAAAATAACTGACAACAGAAAAACTTGAGAATAAAAGCCTAAGGAGACCTCAGCTCAGCTTTGCTTGAGCTCAGAGAAAAGTTAGTTGACACCCCAAGCATTCTGAAGTCATTTTCGCTTGCCGTAATGTCTAATTAGCTTCATAAAATGTTAATGTGCCTCCCCTTTTTTCCATCTCATGATTATATCTTTTTAAAACCTGAATTTATGCTGAGCAGCAATTATAATGAACATGCTTGGTCCTAGAGAACAGATGAGAAAAATTCACCTCTTTTCCTTGCAGAGGTGGGGTACTATGTGTGTGGAACATTACATATGCTGTCAGGCATCAGTTTTGATTAAGTTTGTTGAAAGTTTTTTTCTTTCTCTTTTAAAAAAAATTATTTTTATAAGGGATATCTTGTTGGGTAGGGCACAAGGAGAAAACTTAATTGGAAATGAAGGTGATAAAAGAAAAATCACAAAAATGTTAATACGCATATAGTTAAAAAGTTTATCCGTTTTCTAGTTCATGGATAATCCGAAGCCAATTTTTTTATCCTAGTCTGTTTTCATACTTTCCCAGCACAACCTTAGGGATACTTTTGCTGTTGTGTACTTAGCAAAATGAAAATGTAAATACTAACACAAGTGAAATGTCATTTGTAAAATATAGCTGTGAAAATGAATGAAGAAATCCTATCATGCAAGACAAACCCAAAGGTAAATTATCTGTGTCAGTGATCTCCTTAATTAGTATTTCTCAATGTGTTCCATTCTGTGACACATCTCTTGACTTTGGGGGAGAATCACACAAAATGATATTGCTTGGTAAGGAGGGGAATTTTTATAAACATCTTGAAGGTAAGGCTTATAAAATTATGATCTCAGATATTAATTACTTTTCAACAAAAAAGTTTGAAGTTGTGGGATGAGCCCTAAAATTTTACTTCAAATCCCACTTTTATTGCTTTGCTGTGACCTTAGGCAAGTCATTTCATATCTCTTGGCCTCTGTTTTCTCATCTGTAAAATGGAGAGAATATTTATTCTGTTTCACAGAATTGTTTTAAAAACCAATTTAATGAGATAATACACATTAAAATGCTTTTTAAATCATGAGATCCTACTCAAATGTTAAGTTTATAGTTATGGCCAGTTAAATTGTATCACCATTAATATTATATTTTTGCCACACAGGCACCCCCATGATGTGACTTGAGGGGTGCCAGTGAATGTCCCACTCATTCACTGACTTGTCACATTGTCTGAAATTCCAACATTATTCACTCCTTAAAGTTAGGGCACTGAAAGACTCTCCTAAAATGCAACTCTACTGCTTGAGAGGCATAATACATTATATATTGCTTAGCCACTGCCATAGCACAAATGAGCTCATCTTTATTAGTCCTCAGAGAACAGAGCTTTGAAGGAATTAAATATCAGAAGAATAAATTTTGATTGGAATGATAAGTGGGGGAACAGAGAGAGGAAGAAGGTCTAGAGCAAGGGTTTCTAATCATGGACACATTTCAGGGGTCTATGAATTTATTTTTTTAAGATATAATGATAACTATATAAATATGTTTTGATATGATTACCTTCCTTTGTTTTCCTATGTATTTTATTCTATATATTTTAAAGTATTTTTCTGAAAAGGAGTCCGCAGGCTTTACCAGACTGCCATGCCTCAAAACAGATTAAGAATTCCTGGTCTAGAGCATGATACCATGCCAGGGCCCATCCTGGGACTGGGACCTGGGCAAACAGAATCAGACTTAATGCACTGGGGGCTTGAGGAAGAATATAACAAGGGAGTAGACAAACAGATACAGAGACCAGCAGTGACAGAGAAACAAAGAGATAGAGCAGGAGGAGGAAGAAGAGGAAAAGTGGGAAGAAGAAGAGAGGAGGAGGAAGAAAAGGAGGAAAAGGAAAAGAAGGATTGGAGAAGAGCCAAAAATAAATTCTGCCTAATTCACAATTTTGCCCAGAGTTCTTTAAAGCTACAAAGGCATGTAGCCCCGATAGTTGCCAGCTTCTCTATGATTTCAACATGGCAATTAAAAACTATTGCTTCAAGCCTACTGGGTTCTTGCAGATTTCAGCTGTTAACATTTTTATGTTGTTCATTAAATGCAAGTTTTGCCCTACATCTTCAATGTGTACTAGGCTAGAAAAGGCCAGAGCAGAACTGAACAGAACCATGTGTATAATTTTTTATTCATACTAAACATTTTCCCTAACAAACAGACATTAGATTGGCTATCTTACCTGCTCCCCTTTGTCACCCTTAGGACCAGGTAAGCCAGCAGCTCCAGGCAATCCTGCTTCTCCCTGCACAAAAATAAATTTCCAAGTTACTTCCCCAAAAGTTAACATATTGATATAAAATCCTCTTGCTCATAAATATTCGACTGACAATGGTGGAGTAAAGCAGCATAGCTTCTGGTCATCATTAAATTCTGTCTAAGGCATTTGTCTACTTTTGTATAGTCAACTAACTCTTAATAGCTCAAGGGCTGGTTACCTAATATATGGATGAGCTATTTCCCTGCTCCTCCTTTTAGGCTTTTAGCTATTTCTTAGCTTCTTTTTACCAAAAGAAATCCAGGGAAGAGAGAGGAGGCGAATCTCAAATTGGCCTTGTAAACTATGATGGGGGAGGAAGCTGAAACTAATGACCACGCTAAAGTTCTTGGTTTTTATGAGTATTTCATTGATCTGTGTGTGCTATCTTTCCCACTTAGGATAGACAACCAACAGTTGCCTGTATTTGCTGGTTGAGACTGAATATAATAATAAAAACCTTTGCTACAGTATAGTGAATACCATTCTTTAACCTGGAGCATGTAGCCAATTATGAAAAAGAACAATGAAGGAGCAAATTTCTTCCACTATATTTTGCCAGCAAAAGACATACTTCCCAACCCCTAACACCCACTGAATAAAAACTAAATGTACCATATCTTGTTCCTGACTTTGCAAGTGAAAGATCCATGGCAGAGATTCTTAATTTAAGGTCTGTGAGCTTGCATTTTTAATAATTCAATAATTGTATTTTGATACAATTTTTTGCAATTAAATATATTTAATTTTATATAATTAAAAATATTATTATGAGATCTATGGGCTTCACCAATTGCTAGCAGGGTCTATGACACAAAAAAGGTTAAAAGAACCCATAATATACAGGATCATCAGCTTACACACACAATGTAATGTTTCATAAATTATAATTACAGATCTATCCAAACACAAAGAACACAAACAGAAGGCATCCTCAACACAGTCAAAGTTATCTGTGTAGTGGACTTAAAACCCAACAAAGACTGCAAGCTTAGTGAAAGAGTATGAGGTTAATGTCTCAGGAGCAATTGAGTAAGTCCAAGGAAGCACACTAGCAGGACTTCTCTTAGGATTTAGGTGATAGTCAAGAAACTACCCTCACATCAACCTATGACAATGAGACAGAAGTAGAAAGAAAAGATGTTAAATATTCTCTCTTTGGCCCTGTACTGAAGAAAGGATGACAGTTCTAGGGCAGGAGGGGCAATTGCCTTGAAAGAGGATAGAAATGGAATAAGAAGGAAAGGAGGGAAGAATCAGAATAAGGGGAATTCCTAAGTAAAGGAACAGGGGGACAGCCTTGGGGAGAGGAAACCTTGAAACATCCACAGAGATAAATTTTAAAAAATAAAGGCAGGCCGGCATACTGTTTTTATAGAGGAAAGGTGTGGAATCAGAAGGCGTGGGTCCAAATCCTAGCTCTGCCATTTGGTACGCCCTTGACTTTGGGCAAGTCACTAAACTTCCCTGGGCCTCAATTTCCTCATCTGCAAATAAAGTATCTTCTAGTTCTAAATGTCTGATCTTCCTTGTTGTTGCTTTTCATATTACTGCAGTTTTTGTTTCTTGTTTTTGTTTAACCTGGCACTGGCAATTGACTTTGGAGTGGAGAGAGGACAGCTGGGTCTTTCTCTCCAAAGTCTAAAGAGATAGAGCAATAGAGCAGAAAGAGCTGGTAGCCAGGAGACCTAATCCCATCTCTACCAATGATGAAGAATAACTAGGTATGTGACCTTAGGAAACTTGTTTATCTTCCCCGGTCCTCTGATTCCCCATCTGTAAAATGAAGGGCTTATTTCCAATTCTAAAATTCTACTCTTTTCTACTTTAAACCAAATTAATTACTTCCCAGGTACATGGGGCACAAAGGGCTCCTCTAGCTCAGAGCCCAGTTGTCAGGCTAAGTGGTCTCAGAACTAGCCAGGGGAAATAGCAACAAGCAACCTGAGTAGCTTGGGACATTAGTTCCCATCTTCAACGTGTTCAGGCCTGCCCTGGGTACCTGCGGTCACATTTGAGGGGTCTGATTCACCCTATTCTATATCTTTTCAACATGACCTGGGCTGAAGCTCTCCTACCTTGTTAGGAATGCACTGGCATCGTTCAGCAAGTTCCGGCTTTGCCAGCAGATGTGCAGAAATTTTACTGGCATGAGCAGTTGCCATCAGTGAAGCCGTAGTTCCAAAGCTGTCCTGCTGTGGGCACTAAAATACAAATTGAAGGTATAGTGAATGAAATCAGTTCCTAAGCAACAATGCTCCCCCCCCCCATCAATTTTCCATTTTGTATGGCTGCCCGGATTGTTGAAAGGCAGTTCCACTGATCCCTTACTAATAGAAAGTGGCCACTGATGATAGAGAAACATAACATTTGCTCTTGCACAGAGATTATTGTTGCAGCACTGTGCAACAGAAATGTATCCCCTGTGATAAAATTATACTCCTCTGAAAAGCCACTAAAATAATGCCTTTAGTAAGGAATTCTACAGGTACTTTATACAAGTATTTGACTGCTACAATTCTATAAAATGTTTATTATTATATTGTTATACTGAAATAACAATATTAAATTTCATAGCTGGATAAAACTAGTAAATAAATACATCATTTTGTAAAGGCAATCAGCACACAAAAAGCACACCATCTGAGCTTTATGATGCTGGCTACTTGAGCAAAGGAGACCTAAAGTTATGGACAATAGAAAATAGTCATAGTTTTTTTAAAAAATTGAACCAAGATAAAATTTACTTTGTCACAATGTATTTTTAACACAGTCCAGTGATTTCAACAGATGCTAAAAGACACAAATTGCCAAAGAAAAGTGGGAAGTTTGAGGGGTTTTTTTGGTAATTATCCAGTGACTCAGAAACAATTTAGAGAATTTCTATAGAGTAATTCAAACAGAACACACACACACACACACACACACACACACACACACACGCATGCATGCATACAATTCTCTCTTTCCCAAATACTTGTCCACATAGGTTTCTAAACAGACCTAAATTTATAGGATAAAATAGTCTTTTATCCCTTTCAGCAATAAGGACCTGTCCCTTTTGAATTTGCCTGAGAATGTAACCAGTGGTTGCCAATGAATTTTCTGTTTTAATAATGGAAAGCACTAAAATACTTACATTGAAAAATTGCTGACAGAAAATGACACTTAGCACTATTGCCAACAATTACAATGTCATAAAGTTTGTACCTCTATTTGATAGCTATCTTTAGATCAAATGATAATAAGCTATTTCGTAAACATAACATACTTAGAAATATCCCTACTACCTACATGTACGAAAATATTTATAGCAGCCCTTTTCATGGTGACAAAATATTGGAAACTGAGGGGATGCCCATCAATTGGGGAATGGATGAACAAGCTGTGGTATATTAATGTAATGGAATAATATTTTACAACAAGAAATAATGAACCGACAGATTTCAGGAAAACCTGGAAAGACTTGTCTGAACTGATGTAAAGTGAAATGAGCAGAACCAGGAAAGCATTGTACACAGTATCAGCAATATTGTATCATGATCAGCTATGAATTTCTCAGCTCGTCTCAGCAACACAATGATCTGAGATAAGCACAAAGGACTCACAAAGTAAACATCCAGATGAAGAACTGATGGACACTGAATGAAGATCAAAGCATACTTTTTTCACTTACTTTATTCTTTTTCATGATTTTTTTTTCCTTTTGATGTTTTTTCTTTCACAACTCTGACTAATTTGGAAACATGTTTTACATGTATAATCTATACCAAATTGCCTACCATTTTAGGAAGAGGGGAGGGAAGGGAAGGAAGGAGGGAGAAAAATTTGGAACTCCAAATCTTGTAAAAATGAATGTTAAAAATTGTCACGACATGTAATTAGGGAGGAAAACAAAATACTATTTAAAAAAAAGAAAAGAAATATCTCTACTTATAAAGCTCCTATTCTCAAGCCTGTGAATGTCCTCCCTCATGCTTCCTTCAGGACCTTATTCCAGAATTCATCTCCTTTCTCTCCCTCTTCCACAAAGCTTCAATATTCCCTTCTAAAGGCCTCTCTTGACCCTTTCAAATTAATTCATTTATTAAATACCTACCTTATGCCAGTATCTATCCTAGCTGCTAAAAACACCAAGATTTAAAAAAAAAAGTCTTTGCCCTCAAGTTTATATTCTTCAAGCCCTTCCAACTACTGTCCCTTATATCCATTACTTTTTGCAACTGAACTTCCTGAAAAAGTTGTCTACTCAGGCTGCTTTTACTTCCTCACTACCCATTCTCTCTTTGGAATCAGGCTTCTGCTCATATCTCCCTGCTCTCTCTGAGGTCACCAAACCCAGTGGACTTTTTTCTTCTTCAATTTTTATCCTTCTTGAGATTTCTGCAGCATTTGACACTGCTGACTCTCTCCTATTAGATAATTCTCCTTAAACTTCAGAGAGCCCATAACCTCCTATTTTACTTCTTATCTTTCTAACCACTCCTCAGTCTCCTATGGACTTTCCTAAGGACAGATACTGTTTTATCTTAATTCTATATCTCCCCCAGCATCCACTGCAGTGCTCTAACCACATCAGGTAATTAATAAATTATCACAGGCTCATAGATTTAGAGTAGAAAGTGACCTGAGAGGCAATTGAGTCCAGTCATCTTTTTTTAAAAACAAGAAAATTCAGGCATAGAGAGGTAATGACTTATCCAAAGGCATACAGCTAGAAGTATCTAAGATGGGATTTGAATCCAGGTCATTCTGGCTAGAGTACACTACAACATATAGCTTCACCAATGATTGCTGAATTGGAAAAAGAAAAGGTACTAAATTTAAAAATTAAAGCACATTTGAACTGTGCAATATAATTAATAAAACAATGAACTTTTCTCTATCTCAAAAGCCAGGCACAGTGTAACCTATAATAAAATTATATTCTTTGGGTCACTGGTTCTCAGTCAGTGATTCATGACCTAGTTTCACCTTTTGCTCTGGATGACTGACAAGCCTACTAGGCAAGCAGTTAGTCTCGAGGGTTGAAATAAAATGTAAAACAAAGTCTTTAGGCGCATTCCTTCACTCTAAACATGTCTAAAACATTTTTAATGCAAAAAAATCACAAAAAACAGAGGTCAGTGATTCAATGAATGTTTAGACCCTCATTGCGACCACAATTAAATGTATCAGATTCAGTGTTTTCCAGTTTGACCAGGAATAAAAAAAGATATATTTTCTCCACTTAGTTTTGGCTATCTGTTGGGATAGATATGTTCAGAAGCTAGTGCCCACAAGAATTTAAATGGCAAAGTGAGATGCAAGTGGCAACAGAACCTGGGTGGATGGAAGGAAACAAGCCTTAAGCACCTACTATGTTGCAGACACAGTGATAAAATGCTTTTATAAATATTATCTTATTTAATCCTAACAACAACCCTGGAAGGTAGATGCTGTTATTGTCCTCATTTTACAGTTGAGGAAACTGAGCCAGATAATTATTAAGTGACTTGCCCAGAATCACACAGCTGGTAAGTGTCTCAGGCCAAATTTGAACTCAGATCTTCCTAACTCCAGACCTAGTGCTCTATTCACACCACTAGATTGAGCCACTGAAATCTGAGCTAATATGGAGATAAAGAACAGGACAGGTAGTGAGTTTGCCTTGAGAAGAGAAAGCAGAGAGCCATCACAAAGAGAGACCTCAGACGAAACACAGGAAAAGCAACATGGTACCATAGAAAGAACTCTGAACTTGGAGACTAAAGAACTGAATTTGAATCCAGACTCTTCCACTTACTACCTTTGTGACCTTGGGTAAAGGACTGAACTTCTCTGGGATTCCTTTTCCTCAATAGTAAAATGAGTTTTTCAAAACCATAAAAAAAAAATTAGGATCTATGTTCCTAAGGGAATCCAAACTGGAAAGCAACAGATGACTTTGAATTGAAAGTCCAAGGAGAGAAAGGGCACAGGGAGTGGAGAGAAAGGAAAGGAGATGGGACTCCTCACGGAATGGAGTGAAGGAGGCTGGGTGGGGAGTCAGAGCATCAAGCCAAGTCCAAGCTTTACCAAAGGAGCTTGATTCACTTTAGCAAGATGAAACATGCCTCTTTTGGGGGACTTTAATCTTGAGCAAACTTGTTTTTTCTCTGTTTTAGGCTCCTGGATATTCTCTGTAATTGGCTAGCAGCTGGAACCAGCTGACAGCTTTGGCAAATACAAATGTATTGGAATTTATTTATTTGGGGGAAGGAAGAAACATTTTTAAAACAGTTGGTGGTTATATAAGAAATTGTAATACATATCATGATTCAGTTTAACAAATACCAGTAAGTGCCTAGTGTGTCTAGAGTATATTACTAGGGCCAGGCTTGACAAGTAAATTTATAGTCTAGTCACTACTAAGTACCTAAGCCAAAGCAGTACCCCAGGTTTTTTAGTGTATTCAGAGCCCAGGAGGGTAGGATTATTCTGGTTTTCACCCACAGTAATTATTAATTTACCTCTCTCCCAATTTCTGTTGTTATTGCTACTATAATGAAAGAGTGCCAATAAAAGATTCTGATCAAAATAAGGCTGTGGAAAGGTACAAGCTTAAATACAAGGCTCAAGATACAAGGCTGGCCTCCTTATTAGCGAAAGTTCTTAGTTTAATTTGACAGGGTTAGTTAATTGTCCTTTAAACTTACTATTGCATTTCTCAAACATTTTCAACAGACTAACAACTTCTTGCTCTTTATATCTGCTCCTCATTCTCCCTATATAGATTCTCTTTCTTAAGTCTTTTTCTTGTCTAGGATTTCTTAAACTTTCTTTTTTTTTTATTCTTTAAAAAAAACCCCATATTTTAATTCCCCACAATTCCTACTGAATTAGCAAATGTGAAACAACAATACAAGGCCACTGCCTCTTGGAAATCTAATTTAAATAGCAGAATGCATGCAGGTTAAAGTGAAGACAGTGTCATCTGAAAGAGTAAAATTATAGTACTGAAACACTGTTGTAATTTAAAATTCTAACATAAATTTTTAAATGGGCACATAAAGCTAGACTTTCAATGACATTTTTAATTTTCAAAGTTAAAAGCATTTTTAGTGGTATATAATTGCTTTCAGAAGTTTAACAGAAGCAGTCAGTAAAAGTGAAAGCTGTTGATTTATTCAAACATATCTTCATTCATTAACTTATTTTATTTACAAATAAAACATTCATTCTTTCAACAAACTTTTATTAAATACTTTCTATGTGAAGGCACTATACTGGGTACTAGAGAGGACTCCAATATGAATAAGTCCTTGCTTACAAGAAACATAATACATTAATCTTCCATACAAAGTATTGTTATTTGTAAACAATTTACAAAATATTCCTTACATGGTCAATGATTCCTGTACACCCAAAAGAAGATTGTGGGCAGGGAAATATCTCTATGCTCTTAGTTCATATGTAATACCCATACTGTTAAATGCTCTGATAAACTTTCAAAACCTATCAGGCACTATGCCTAGTAAAACACAAATTTTTCTTCCAGGTTTCAGCACACACTAGATTGATGTGGTGCTTTTAATCCCATATTACTATACTAAAACTAACTTCAATTACATCTCTTTTAAACATAGCTTTATTATTCTCTTTCTTTCTCTCTCTGCTAGTACTGGTCAAGAACTTCATGCTTAAACTTATTTAAAGGGCTTTTAAAAAAAACTACTTTTCAACCACAACAGAACAGATTTTAAGAGCTCCACCACCAAAATCCATGTCATTCTAACTTTTAAAAAAATTCTCTTAAGAACTAATAATTTCTGCACTCAAAAGTGTGGCTCCAAGATGTCTAGGTGTTTCAAACCTGTGAGCTGGCACACAAAATTATCTTCCTCTCTATTTATAGAAGGATATTTGGCTGCCTTTCATCTCACTTGGACTGGGATCTATACATTGAATTTAGGATGCCCTCTCTAAGAGCATGCTACATAGCATAAATCTATATCTATGTAGCTATATATATGCATATGAATATATGTGCATACATGTGTATGTATGTGTATATATGTGTGTGTGGTATATATATATATATGAAAAAATAACTTGGTAGGAATAGAAAAATACATTGGCTCTGTTTTTCAATTGGGTAGGTGACTTTTTTATTCAATTGACCAAGCTGAATACAGAAGTAAAAGTTTATTTTGAATTAATGAGTTATTGCTGAAACTTTCATATGAATTTTTTAGGGGGAAAATGAATGAAGCATACTTTGGGAAAAGCTTAAGAAAAGAAGAAATGCGTTTTTAATCCTTCACTTTTCATCTGTTTCTTCTGTTCTGTTTTAGTACTAATCCTTTTTATATACCTCTACGGGACACATTTTTCACTTGAGGAAAAATTAAGCAAACCACAAGAACATTTATTGAATGCTATTATATGCCAGGCACCGAGGTGGGAGAGGAGAGAGATAAAGCATAGCTCAAAACCTCAGGAGTTCACAGTCTAGTCAGAAAAGGACATTTCAAAGTAACAGATTAAAATAACTAAAAGAATGGCCCAGATAATAAGTGTTAGGTGAACCCAGGAAAGGAAGATCCCTGTAGACTGAGATAGTTGAAGAAGGTTTCCATGAGGTTAAGAAACTCAATCTGCACTTTAAAGTAAAGACAGGATAAAGCAGCATTAATATAAAAAAAAGTTATTTTCTGTGAGGGGGGTGGTGGTGGTGAAGAGGAGTACTGATAGAAGGGAATTCAAGAAACATTGCAAAAGAAAGGATCAGTAGGACCTAGTGATTGACTTAATATGACAAATAAGATAGAGAATTAATGCAAGATAATTTTGGCAACTGAGAAAATGGGAACTGGTGATTTCATTAACTCCTATGGATTCAGTAATAACTTCCACACATATGACTCCCAAATCTAAATATCCAATACTTCACAACTCCAGGCCCATATCCACAACTACCCACTGAACAACTCCAAACATGTCCTACTCAGTACCCAAAATGCAGCATATCCAGAGGAATACTGATAATCTTCCCCCTAAACTCACTCCTCTTACTAAACTTTCTTATTTCTGTTTGGGGCACTACCATGCTTCCAATTTTTGTTGTTTAATTGTTTCAGTTGTGTCCACCTCTTCATTGACCATATTTGGGGTTTTCTTGGAAAAATACTGGAGTAGTTTGCCATTTCCTTCTCCAGCTCATTTTACAGATGAGGAAACTGGGGCAAACAGAGTTCACTGACTTGCCCAGGGTTACACAAAGTAAGTATCTGAGGCTAGATTTGAATTCAGGAAAATGAGCCCTCCTGACTTAGGCCTGGCACTGTATCCATTATGTCAACTAGCTGCCCTCTTTCCAACTACCCAGGTTCAAAAAACCTTAGCAGCATCCAGCATTTTCTTGAAGTCCCCCAGTGAGGGGAAACTCATTAACTCCTCAGGAAGCCATTCCACTTTTGAAAAGTTCTAATTATTCAGAAGTTTTTGCTTATATTAAACCTAAATCTCTCTCCACAACCTCCACCTACTACTCCAAGCAAAACAAGCTTTTTCTATGTTAAGACCCTTTAATACTAGAAGATAACTATCATGCTTCTAAAGACCTCTCTTCTTCAGGCTGAACATCTCCATTTCCTTCATATGGTTCTCATGTAATGTGAACTCAAGGCCCTCACCAACCAATCAGGTTGCCCAACTCTGGATCAACCAAACAAAAGTAAGCATTTATTAAACACCTACTATGTGTCAGGTACATTGGGCCTCAGTGCCTAAGTGCTGGGGATGAAAATACAAAGAATGAAATAATTCCTACCGTCAAGGAGCTTATATTTTTATATATTTTCTTCATCTTATCAATGTTCTTTCTAACACATAGTCCACAGAACTGAACACTAAACCCTGGATACAGTCATGCCAGGACTATCACCTCCCTAGTCCTGCTATGCCTCTTAATGCAACTTAAGAGCTCATTAGCTTCTGGGGCTGCCATAACACATTTTTGATTCATATGGTACTTGTGGTACACTAAAACTCTCAGATCTTTTTCAATCTCAAGATTTTTTTTTACCCATTCAGCAATTCTGCATAGCACTTAGGATGAAGTCTCATAAGAAAAAATCTAAATACATAGAATTTTAAATGATCCCTTGTGATTGGTCACATACTCCATCAGGGTCTTCAAAGGCTCCATAGTATAGGTGATTTTCGGCTGCTGATTCAGTCACTGGAAGGAAAGGGGCCCACTTCCAACTTTCTTCTGTATTTTTGTCTTGAGTTTTTTTGTTTGCTCATTTTTCCATGCTATTTCTTGACTTGAGAACTTATGTTGGTATTGGACTCTGCTTTGGGGTAGAGGTAAAAGGCGGGGTGAAGGTGGAATGTCTGCCTGACATTATCTTTTATGTCTTTCTATTGCTTTTGTAGCACAGTCTGGGGGCCTGTAAATTTTTGGTGCTTCCAGAGTCGTGTGTTCCGGGCAGAAGTCTGTTCCCTGCCTTCCTGGTCTGCAAATCCCTGACCTGGTTTGGATTTGCTGACTAGTGAGTGAGTGAGTTCCTGTAGACTGCTGCTAGACTCTGTCACACTTATTCTGCTGGGATACTCTGCAATTTCAGAAGTGATTGAACTGCTGGCTCTGCCTTGGTTTTAGTCTCCTACCCTAGTTTATTACTGCAGGCTTACATGTGGGCCTAGCGGTTAAAACTGAGTCTCCGCTCTGCTCTGGGGCAGACACACAGCTATATTCTGAAACTTGTTCCTAGCTCCTTACACAGGTAGGGACCCTGCTCCCCTGCAATTTGACTGCTCTTCTCTGCCCTGAATTATGAACTCTGACCAGAACTGGGAAACGGGCAACAGAGCTGCCAGGTGGCACCCATTGCTGCTGCCAGTGCTAGTTCAGGGGCCCCCTGGCATCTTTCCTGCCAAGGTGCTCAGTCCCCTTATTGTCCCTGAGCACTGGTCTGATGCCACAGCGACAGCCCATTTCTGCCTGCTGAGTTTGCTGCTGCTGCATCTGTAGTCCTGGACAGTCCCCACAGGCTGCAAAAATGATGGAATAGATGTTAGAAGCCATCTGATCACATCCCTTCTTTTTGCAAATGTGGAAAATAACTGGAGTTAGGACCAGAATGCTCTCTCAAACATTTACTAGTTATGTCACCCTTAGCAAGTCATTTAACCCTGTTTGCCTCAGTTTCCCCATTTATAAAATGAGCTGGAGAAGGAAATGGCAAACCACCCTGGTGTCTTCGCTAAGAAAACTCCAAATGGGGTCATGAAGAGTCAGACATAACTAAAATGACTGAAAATCTATAGATGAGGAAGGTAAAAGGTGGACTGAGCAAGTCAATTGTCACTTATTTTTCACACAAAAACAACTCACCTTAGCATCTGATATTTCACAGCACATCTCTTGGGCTACAAAGTTTGGGTTACAGTAAACTTGAAGGCGATGAAGTTCAATCTATTGAAAAACATAAAGTGACAAACAACCATTATAGATTTCTTCTTGCTATTTTTATTTATAAGCACTGTATGTATGGAGGTTAAACACACATGGAATGTGTGAACATATCCAAAGTGAAAACTTGGAATTAAACCTGACTTCTTGGAAGCTCTTTTGACAGATTAAATGGGTTAATGCTGGGATTTAACCATTTCCTAGGTCATTAGGCATATTTGTCCTCATTAGAAGAAACCAAATAACAATGTTATGAATTGACAAGTCTATTGATCTTCTTATACCAGAAAGGAAAAGGAATATCTAGTGGAGAAGTCAAAGAGAAGATATACCAAAACTGAGTAACTAGTCTATCAAAAATGGAGGTGAGGGAATACAAAAAAGCAAAGCCTATTCTGGAAAACGCTTAACTCCCTTTTACCAGAGCTCTTAGTGGAGAATGATTAGTTCACAGATACTATTCAATCTGAATTCAATAATTAAATGAAATAAGTCTGCAAGTTTATATGTCCATATAAACTATGTTTAAGATTTATGAATTTTAACATTTTTGTAGTACCAGAGTTCTTCTTTCATTTAAAAAAAATTTTTTTCAAGGCTGATTTAATCCCCAATCTGAATCCTCTAAAAGGATACTGATACTTTTGGTATGCCTTTAATTTTGCAGTAAGACACCTCTAGCTACTAAATTATCTTATAATTACTATAGTTCATTGTACCATCTTTTATAGTTATTTGTTACTCAATCTTTGCTCTTATTTACCTGATACCCCTGAAATGGAAAACATTTTCCTGGGTAATGATATTTAAAACTTCTCCTTTTATGTTTAATGTTATCTATTTTGAGAGGTGATGTGTCATAGCGGATAGAAAGTTGGCCTTGAAGCCAGGAAGACCTGAATTCAAGTCCTGCCTCTAACACCTACTAACTGTGTGACCCTAGCCCAGTCACTTAACCTCAGTGCTGTTAGCAACTCTCTAAGACTATTAGTTGCAGACTAGATTCTAACCTGAGAAAGACTTTCTTCATGTGGGAATTCCCTATCCTAATGAAATCACAGGTCTAATCCTTATCCTTTTCTTAATTTTATTTTAAAACTCTCTCAAAAGTGCTTTTAGTTGCACAAGGTACTTTTAATGATCAGAATTGTGTATTTTGGAAATTAAGTACAATTGTTTTAAGAGCTGTGAATTATTTGTTGCTGTTGAGTCATTTCAGCCATGTCTGACTTTTTGTGACCCCATTTAAGGTTTTTTTTGGCAAAGATACTGGAGTGGTTTTCCATTTCCTTCTCCAGCTCATTTTACAGATGAGGAAACTGAGGCAAACAGGGTTAAGTGACTTGCCTATGGTCATATAGCTAGTAAATGTCTGAGGACAGATTTGAACTCATCTTCCATCCACTACACCCCACCTAGCTGCCCAAGCGCTGTGAGTTACCTCAATAAAATATTCTTACAGGTGACTTTGAAAGCATCCAAATTGTGGTTAGGGTTTTTTTTTTGGGGAGGGGGTTTGCAATCCTACTTATGTAAATTTACCAATATGAAATCTATATTGTAAATGTTTGCTTCTTAAAAAAATCTTCAAAGCCCAGTTTTATATTCTTTCTTCTCCAGATTGTATATTAATCATCTCAGCCTTAGAGATAAATGTAAAAGCATCTTCAGATTGGTAAGATTTTGTAAGCCTGGACTACTCTTCCCAAAGTCATAACATCGTTGATTTAGAACTGGAAGAGGCCTTAGAAATCATCTAGTTCAATGCCTTCCTTTTACCTTTGAGGAAACTAAGGCTTAGAGAGGTTAAACACCTTGTACAAAGTTGCACAGGTACTCAGTGGCAAGATTCAAACTCAGTTCCTCTACCTGCAGTTCCAGTAGCACACTTTATATTGTACCACATCCACCACCTCCCCAAATTATACAGTTGATGGTAATGTTGCCTGAAGAACTGGAGCCCAAGAGAATACTATTAAACCAATAGCTGCTTATTTAATATAGTGCATAATGCAAAGCAACTGCTATTATGAAGCTGAATGTACAGAGCCTATTGTTCTTAAATAAGAATGTCAGATAATCTGGAATCATTTAAAGTTCATGTTTCCCCAGCCCTTTGCATTTCAAGCAAGCAACCTTTTAATGTAATTATATTATGCATCATACTTTCACATTTTACAGAATTTAATTTTCTATAAAATTACTCTTTTTGACTGGACCCAATTTCTTTTAAACCTGCTGTTCCCAGATAATTTGTCCAGCCTATATTATGTGTCAAAATATTATGCCTATTTATATGAATATTATGAAAGCCAGCGTAGCATGGTAAATAGAGGTTCTGGTCTTAGAATCAGGAGGACCTGCCTGGGTTCAAAACCTGATTTTGATACCTAACAACTGTGTGACTATGAACAAATCTCTCAATGTCCTAGGGCCCCCAACTGCATTCTAAGACTTTTAATTATAGATAAATTGCTGCTCTTAATCAGTGGAGGATGTTCCAACATAGATGAAATCATGGGTCTAGTATCAGAGACAGACAGAGAGAAAGAGAGAGAAGAGAGAGAGAGAGAGAGAGAGAGAGAGAGAGAGAGAGAGAGAGAGAGAGAGAGAGAGAGTATGGGGGGGCGGTGGCAATCTGGATATGAATGTGTCTGAACCTGTGATTTTCATTGGTAAAAGACTCACAGTGAGGAAATTTCTTCTACCAATGGAGATTGACACAGCTAAGCAATTTATAGTATTAAAGAGTCGTCTAGGTACCTGAAAAGATAAGCCACTTGTCAATAGGAGTCAGAGGTAGGGATTCAAACCAAGTCTCCCTGATTCTGAAGCCAGCTTTCTGGTCTTTATACTAGATGTGTGCAGATACAAACATATATGTGCATGGGTACAGTTATACCTTCCACATCATGACTTTTCTCATCATGGTTTCTATATATGACCGGTCAGCATAAGAAATTAAATGGGAATTTGGGGGGAGTTTTGCAGAAGCTGCAGGCAACTCACAAAGGCCAGTGGACAACACAGATCCTATGACCAAATACTTAACCTAAATTTTACAATAAGGCACTGCAAACATCCCTTAAAAGAAAAAGAAAAAAAATCAGACTCCTTCTTTGGTATGAAGGGAGGGCCAAAAAATTTTATGTAGATTTTCCAGATCATGGGCATGTCACACCTCAGTTCCCACAATGTGGAAGAGATAATTGTATACATACATACATTTCTGCGTATATACATCCACATCTGTATGTATATACATATAATGCAACTATTAATGAGCTTACATGAGGTGATCTTCTTTACTTAATATTGGCACAATTGCCTTTGGAATGATACATAAAATAAGGATTCAAAGAAAAATGATACTTTGCTTTAACATAGAAGCATCACTCATTTGCTGTTCTGGCCACAGCATTGCTACTTACATCTACAGGTTTGCCGTCTGAAGCCCGGGCAGCAATGACAGTTCGGCCATGGAAGTCAATGGAGTCCTTTTCATCTGTCTGTCTTCTCTCAACTAAATTACAGTCCACATAGAGGGAAAGGATCCTGGACTGCATGCTGAGGCCAAGCTTATGCCATTGCCGGTCAAATAGAGAGTAAATTTCTCGACTTCTAAAAATGTAGTGTAGCATTTCTCCCTGATGAAAGGCCATCAGTTCCACCACCTTTTTTGTACCATCAATTATTATAGATACCTGCAAAAATGTAAAACGTTTACATACCTTATTCTTTAAAAAAATATTTTGAATATGCTTTTAAAAATGGAAAGTGGTATCAAAGAAAACAAAAAGAAATGAAGTGACATAAACAGAGTTATGTCATTAAATTTAACATGCCTGTGGTTTAAAAAAAACTCTGTGTAAAAGTTCACTGTTTCTAATGTAATCATTTAATTCTCTGTATATTTAAATTATTTTATTAATGATCAAATTCATCACAAAAAGAATTTTTAAAAAATATTAAGACTGCCACAACAAGATGTGTACAAGCAATATCTTAAGAACTCAGAGAAAAACCAAATCTATGAATCATTTTCTCACCAGGCCAATGCAAAACCACTAGTGTGTAATAAGTACTTAATAAATGTTTATTGACTGGATGTCAAAAAAATGAGGAAATTAGGTGTCCAAGTTAATTAAAATCCCATTAGCCAATAAGGTCTAGGTAACTATAGCTTCAGTTAAGATATTATCAACTTTCAAAGACTTTTTATCTCATTTCCCATAACTACTGCTCCAAACCTTTGAACATACCACTAAGTTCATCTTCAACACTAGCACTGACAACTGGGTACACAGCCTCCTCGACTGAAAAAAGTGAGGGGTTTTTTTTGGGGGGGTATTTGGGGTTAAATGACTCAACCAGGGTCACATAGCTAGTAAGTGTCAAGTGTCTGATCTGAGACTGTATTTGAACCCAGGTCCTCCTGACTCCAGAGCTAATGCTTTCTTCACTCCACCACCTAGCTGCCATTAGAAAATGAGGTCTTCTGATGAAAGCCTCTTCAGTCTCATTCGTGAAACCTTGTCGGCATTCTTATCTTTTCTCCTACAATCAGGGAATAGGATCATTGGATCATACATTCAGAGCAAATAACCTTCAAGGTGATCTGGTCTAACATCCTCATTTTACGGGTGAGGAAACTGAACCTCAGAAATGTTAAGTGACTTGCCTGAGGTGTGATTCTGTGAACACGTGGCAGAGCCACTCTCTCCTATCTTCAATCATGCCCTGACAACTTGCTGCGGTCTCCTTAATGTAAAATAAGCCCTCTCTCAAACTTGTTAGTCTGCATAGTTATCATCCTATATTTCTCCTTCCATTCAAGCAAAAGGTCTTGAAAAAGTTGTCTGTTTGATGCCTCTATTTCCTCAATACCTACTCCCTACTCAACCCCTTACAGTTGAACTTCTGTGCATACCACTATGTTGAAGCTGTTCTCCCTAAAGGGACAGCCTCCCCATCACCAAATACAATGTGTATTCATCCTCCTTGGCCTCTCTGTAGCATTTTGAGCTATTGACAACCCCTTATCAAATGTTTTCTCTTCTCTTAATTTCGGAGAGAAATATATTCTCCTCTCAAATTGCTTCTTCTCTGTCTCTTTCACTGGCTTCACATGCTCATTCTTCCAGATTCCTTATTTTGGACATTTCCCCCACAATTTGCTCCTTGTTCCTCTTCCCTTCTCTTCCTATATAATACTCAGTGCCTCGATGACCTCATTCACTACCATGACTTCAACTACCTCCTCTACATGCATGATTTCTAAAAATATATTTTTATTTCTGACTTTTCTTTTAAGGTCCAAACCCAAATGTTCAACTGCCTATAAGCCATCTCCACCTGGATTTACCAGAGGTACCTCTAACTCAATGTGCCAAAACAAAACTTATCTTTTCTCCTAAACACATTTCTCTTTCTGACTCAACTATTTCTATCACTATTCATCTACTCTCCCATTTGCACAACCTTAAAATTATTTTTGATATTTTATTCCTTCCCTTTAACTCAACCACATGCAGCCAGGAAACCAAGTCATATAAATTCCATCAGATAGTGCAGTTTCATACACGATACTCTTTTTCCGCTCTTGAATTTAGGAAATGTTTGTATTTGTTGATTTTTGTCAAATTCGTTATAACAGAAAAGACTTAAGAAGAATTCTGACCCTCAACCATTGTGTCAGCCATTTAATTAATTTTATTTTTTCTTAAAATTATGGGAAGACTTTTGGGAATAGACTTGTCTTTATGTGTATTGGCACAAGCTAATATTTCCTTAACCTTATCTTACAAAACTGTAGTACGAACTCTTATGTCTTCTTACCTGTGGTACATTACGATGATCTAACAATTGCCACAGAAACCATCGTTCCTTTTTGGTGCTTCGTCTTACACGGAATATGGCTGCTACAGAATATTCTCCTGGAAGTCCTTTGGGAAATATCTTCCTATGGAAAAAAAAACAAAATCCAAGCTATTGCTATCAATCTATTAAAGAGAACATATGAACACTTTAAAAAATAGCTTTAAAAAAAGACAAACTCAACCATTACATTGAATGGGACACAACTTCTTGGCTATGGCTTCTTTATCACTTCTGTCAGTACAAAGTGAGATAATTTGTGTAAAGTCCTTTACAAACCATGAAGTGCCATATAAATACTACCTATTATTAAAACCATTATTAGAATTGTAAGATAATTATAATTATGTAAAGCAAAATGGAAGATGCAGAACACACTTACATTGTTTTTGCTTTTGTATATTTGCAGATATTTTGCCACTGAAACTGAAGTGGAGGAGGGGGTAAATTATATAGTAACTTCTAATAGTGAAGTTCCAGCAATTAATGAAGCTAGTCTGAATTTTAGAGGGATCTAGTAATGACATAAATATAAAGGATTATATTGTCTGTTACTTAAAGCTGAGGATTTATCACATTAAACTTCTTTTATCACATTAAACTCCTTTGATTATAAGGCTATTTAAACCTCTAGTAATAATCCCAAAATATCACTAAAGGTAGCTTCAATTTTTTGACTTATTTTTACTCTTATAGAAAAGGGAATAAACAAATTCCTTCCATATGACAGTAAAAGCTATTATGATATAAGCATCTGTGTTTGTGTCTTAGCTCCCTAATAGGCAGTAAACTTTAGGAGGGCAGAGGTCATGTACATTCTAAATTTTATCTTTCCTCTAGCACCTGCACAGTGGTACAAAAAGCAGAAGCTTAATAAATGTTTGATGAATGAATTCATGAATATTGTATTCTGTGCCAGGCCTAGCTCAGGCCATTCCTGTGATTCAGGTTCAGGATTAGAACGTAATGAGGCAGCAACAGACCATGAAACAAAATAAAAATAACTTAATGAGAATAATTAAGATGAATCAATTCCTGAGGTTGAAAAGGGTACTTACTCAAACAAAAGTTTACCACTCTACCACTTTAGTGCCTCTCATCAGATCCTTAGTGCCTTGAGGGACAGCAACTGTATTTTGCCTCTTGTTGTATCCTCAGAATTTATCAGAACAACTGGCATATCGTTTTATTGTTATTGTTGTTGTTCAGTCATTTAGTAATGTCTGACTCTTTGTGACCCTGTGTAGACCATACTGTCCATGGGGTTTTCTTAGCAAAGATATTAGAGTGATTTGCCATTTCCTTCTCCAGTGGATTAAGGTAAACATAGGTTAAATGACTTGCCCTACAACTAGTAGGTGTCTGAGGTTGGATCTGAACTCAGCTCTTCCTGACTCCAAGCCCAGTGCTCTATCCATTGGCATACAGTAGGCACTTAATAAATGTTTATTGACTATTGACTGACCCCAACCTCCACCTCATATTCCAGGACAATTGGCAATGCTAGAAAGATATCTCAGCAAGGCAATGGGAATTCCACTAAGTCTTCTAACACCAAATCCTCAATGGCCTTTAGGACTTTTATACTTCAGGCAGCAAGGAAACCAAACTGCCTCCCTTAAAGGACTGGCTCAGCCTATATAAAATAAACTCTACTCCTACCATAGTGGGCAAAAGAAATGCTCCACATTTCCTTCCCTCAGTATTATCTGCATTTAAAAAGGAAACAAACCTAGAAAAAACACTTCAAATATACTATGAATTCAAATGCATTAAGAAAAATAGCAGAATTCCCCACTCTCATGCCAGCTAAGAAAAGTGTGAAGGCTGCTGAGGGTCACACTGTCTTCATGAACCAGACAGGGGACTTAAAATCAGGTCTTCCTAACTTGGGGAAGGGGAAAGGAGAAAAGAAATAAGCATTTATATGGTTCTTATTATGTGTCAGGCATTGCACTAAGCACCTTACAAAAATTAGCTCATTTGATCCCCACGATAATCCTGTGAGGTAGGTGCTACTATTATCCCCATTTTACAGTTGAGAAAACTGAGGAAAACAAAGGTTGGATTTGAACTCAGGGCTTCCTGATTCCAGGCTCAGCATTCTATCATCTGGTTTTCTCAAAGCCACCTCTCACTCCACAATTCTATGCTACTAGGGAAACTAATTTTTTCTTCAAAATTATATGTTTTCATGGGTAAAAATAAAGGAAATAGAGAAAATCTTAGAGCAAACATGTAAGTCAAGAACTGGTCTATAGCTCTTAGTAACTTGGAAAACACACAAGCCCATAATTCAGCTACTTCTGATCAAAGTGAATATGTAGCAACGGTAAGTAGCACTTTATTCCTCCGCAAACTCGTTGTCAGAGACCAACTAGGATGGGCAAGTAGTAGATAATGACTTGCAATACTAACTCCTTTTTAAGCTTATGGAAGAACACATGAATGCTTCTAAAATATAATTTCTACTGGAAATGCATACTGCTGATAAGATAAATTTTTATTACTGTTACTATATAATAATATATTTAATCTAGGGAAGGAAGATTTCTTAATATCTCCTAAAAACGACATGACACACAATTCCAAGAAATGTGAATTGCTCAGTAATTAAAAATCTAATTCCAGAAACTAAAAGGTATTGTACTTCAAGAATACAGTTTTTCCATTGCTGAAGAGAAATTATTTAAACTAATATTATGCAAAAAGGATATTATGCAAGATTAATAAATTTCATTGTACTATATAATACTTTTGTTGTTCAGTCATTTTTCAGTCATGTCCAACTCTTTGTTACCCCATTTGGCAATTGCTTGGCAAAGATACTGGCATGGTTTGCCACTTCTTTCTCCAGATCTAATACTTAGCCTAGGGTAATTAATGAAGGAAGAAACCCACTATCATCTTCCTTCTTGTGGTTATATAATCTACGTTTAAAAATGCACTAGCTAGACTCTTTGCCAGTTGTAGGCAGAAAAATCTCTGTGTTATGGGAAAGATCCATTTGCAATACACTTCATGTTTTAGAAAAGAAACTGGAAACCAAGTGAGTGCCCATCAGTAGGGGGAAAGGATCAACAAAGTGTATTATATCAATATAATAGACTATGATTTTGCTGAGAGAAATGATGAAAATGAAGGCTTCAGAGAAACTTGGGAAGATTTTATAGACTGATGTGGAAAGAAATGAGCAGAACCAAATGAACAATTTACTTTATGATGACAATAATGTAAGAGAAAAATAACATTGAAAAGTCCTTAGAACCCAGTCACAAATCATGACTTCAAAAAAATTATAATGAAGTATCCCTTCCACCTCTTGGCAGAGAGGTGTTTTACTAGAGCTGTAGAATAAGACATACATTTTGAGGTTTGGCTAATGCGTTGATGCATTTTGCTGGACTGTATTTGTGGCAAGGAAAGGCTTTGGGCAGGGGAAGGAAAGGAGATATGAAATAGTGGGTAGTAACAAAGATACCAAAAAAAAAAAATAGAAAGGAGTATCAATAAAGCATTATTTAAAACACAAAGAAGAAAATTTTAAAAATCCTGGTGGCAAATGGCAATTTCATTACTACCTTGTTAAACTTAACTTATACGTTAAAAAAATAAAATGTACATGTTAGAAGTTCATGTTTTCATATACAATCCTGATTTTTTGTTCTTTGTGTATCAAAATACATTTCTATTAAGCTCATAATGATTTTAAAAATTCTTGTATTTAAAATAATAAAAAAATAAAAACACACTTTTAACTTTAGGGCATAACTCTGCATTCACAACCTCACAAATACTAACAATAAATGTTTTAATATCATTTCTCTGTGCCATGTAGCAGCTTCCAATATAAAGGTAGCCAACTGAATCATACTTTGGTCAAATACCAGAGATATACAATGACAGCACACTATGTCTGAGCTATTTGAGCTTGAATATTTTTGAAAGGGGCGTGGTTTCCTCTAAGACATTCTATCCATTTTATTCAGTGACACTTCCATTGAAAATAAATATTGCTGCTATCACTTGTTGAATCATTCATGTAAAATACAGTCAGATTTTTCTGGTACAAACATTGAAATAGGATGAGAGAGGGTTAATTCCCTTTTTTATATGTCTCATCTGACTCTTAAATGAAAATATTAATAATCAATAATAGCTTTAAAGAATATTTTAATAGATGTTGATACTAAATGCAAACCCCAAGCTACGTGGAACAAAAATATTTGAAAATACAGGAGCCTAGCAACAGAAGTTAAAACTATGTGGGAACAGGATCAAGTGCATATCATCCTTGTTGTCCTGCCCACTGCTGGAATTATACTAAGAATTCTCTCAGTGAGCCTATAGAGGATCGGCTTACGTTCTAATACACCTAGATGATACAATGGATACAGCATGGGACTTCAAATCAGGAAGACTTGAGTTTAAATGTAGTTTCAGACTCTTAATAGTTGTGTGGCCCTGGATGAGTCACTTAATCTCTCTCAGCCTCAGTTTTCTTATCTTTAAAAGGGGGATAATAATAGTTCCGACATCACAGATTTGCTGTGAGGATCAAATGACACTTCACAAGTTTTAATTTGTTGTTGTTCAGTCATTTTCAGTTGTGTTCAAGTCTTTGTGATACCATTTGGGGTTTTCTTGGCAAAGATGCTGGCGTGATTTGCTATTTTCTTCTCCAGTCATTTTACAGATGCAGAAACTGAGGCAAACAGGGTTAAGTGACTTGTCCAGGGTCACACAGTTAATAAGTGTCAGAGGCTGGATTTGAAATCAGGAAGCTGAGTCTTCCTGATTCCAGGCCCAGCAGTCTATCTATCTAGCTGAACCTTAAAGTGCTATATACTAGCTATTATCATTACTAAAATACAAAGAACAATCATTTCATTATTGAAATTTCAAAAATTCATCTGGCTGTGCAAAATCCCACATTATACTAAATATAAAAGAATAATAGTTATTATCCTTGACTCACTCTTTCTCACCTCCCCTCTATATAAATAGATGACAAGTACTGTCATTTCTACCTTCACAGCATCTCTCCTATATGATCACTTCTCTCCTTTGGCACTGCCACTATCC